GTGCAGTAAAACCACATTGAAGTGTTTGTCTCCTGACGCTTGTCCCAGATTTTTGTCATCAATTTACGGAGACGTTTAAAAGGGCTTTTCGTTCTAACCCCCCACGGCCTCCAGCGATGAAAAACATTTACGGGTCTATTAAAGAAATGTATCCGTTTTATGAAAAATTCTGTATCTCTTTGTTCATGTCATCTCTACATAGAGATATTCAAATGATGGCTTTTGTCTGCCTCTTTAAAAATATATTGTTGGAGCAAAACTTTTCCATGAGCACTTCCCTATTGGGCTATATACAGTCTATGATTTGAACATTGCCAGAGTAGAAGCCTGTCTTACATTTTCAGAGAGACTGTATTCTAGGTTTTTTTCTTGATTTTTGACTGTGCTTTGGCGACACGTGGTCTTCCATGTCAAATGCATTGGTTCCTACTACAGGTCCTAAAACTATTCAAACTATTGGGATAAGCAAAGAAAACAAAAAAAACATGGCTGCCTATGTAATAATCATCGTCATTGTGAAATATTTGTGTAATATTTGTGTAATGTTTTTGGTGATTTCCTTCCAAATCGTTGACATAATCTGTCTGTGATAATTGACTCTCAGGGTGAAACTGAAAGTGGCACATGACTCTGGGGCGATGTTTCTGAGAGAGAAAACACGAGCAATTGTTCTCCATCTGTCAGACTGAGCAGCTAGAGAATGATTGTAGAGATAGATTATTCACATTTGGAGGATAATATTACCGTCTCTACCAAACAGGAACTGAATTTCTCAAATTCAAAAGATAAGATATAAGAACAAATACATATGAAAGACAATTAAACACAACCCGTCTATAGTTTATTTGTGAACAACTATTTTATTTCATTTTTTTATTTTAGGATGGCCCCATTGAGATGAATTATCTATTTCTTGAGGGGGATACAAGTATACACAACAATACCACACAATACGATAATAGACAGTTAGACTACCACTGCCTTGCCCCTTGTTGTGCAGCAGCAAACTATACTTTACATTAATTATTAAATCATTAATATTTTGTTAGTTTAGTTTATCTGCTTTTCCTCTCTGTACCCACCACCCTGCCCATATATATGATAATAAGTCTGAAAGTCCATTTGGGCGCCTTCTGAGGGCACACAGCAGTACAGAGCTGTTTGGAGATGGCAGTCTTTATGTCTCTCCTGTGTTTATTATGCGGCTGCTTTATTAGAAGAATCGAGTTAATGTTCCAACAGCCAATTACACTGCAGCTGTGAGCTCCTGCGCCTCCGAATAGCACTGCGCTTTTATTATTGAATTTCTAGCTTGGAAAAATCGTAAAACCAAACCATAATCTGACAATTTGAGATGTTTTCATGACGATGGGGACAATGAAGAGGTGAAGTTTCCTGATAAGGGAGTCGGAAGAATCTCAAAAACAGGGATTCCAATTGAAAACTGTATTTTTTTTTGAGTAAACATGCAGCTGTTTTCAATTTAAATAAGCATTTAAAACCAGATTATTTCTGCTTGACTTGACAATAATGAGGATATCATTGATCACCAAGCCCCGGTTTTCCAAGATGGCGTCCTATTCAAACCAATGGCTTGTGCTCAGTGGGGCATGTTCCACCATGTGCACCAAAAAATTAGCGGAACTCGCCCATATTTGGGCATCGTCTGGTCCTCCTGGTTCTGCGCAGTGGACGAGCTCCCATGATCTGTTGCGCCAAATACGTGTGTGTGGCTCTCATGCAGAGCTGCTGATCAGAGCGGAGCTACAGCGGGAGACGATTGAGCAGAGTTTGTTGCAAGTGTAGATTTAAAGAAAACTAAAGGATTTAAGAAGAACCAGAGTTCAGGATGACAAGGGACACTAAAATCCCCACAAAATCCGACCTTTATGCAGCTGTAGGTTCTCTGTCAGCTGAGGTCGAGCTGTTTTAGTTTACACTGAGTTCTATGGGGAAAATTTCTGGGTAGCCCACGTGAATTTAGTATTGTTTAGTTTGCAGAACCGCGAGAATCCCCCGAGCATGTGGGTTCTTCAGCTCCAAGCTAGTAATACCCTATCCAGATATTATATTACATACATTTTGATCACTCCTGTATACGAAGCCATTTTGAACAGAATCCATGTTGACCATTGATACTAGAGCCAAAAGGGTATTGGGTCTCATGGGGGTCTTGCCCAAGCCTCCTCTTGCTGCTCCTACAGTCTGATTCACATTTTAATGAAGCGAGACGCATTCACACACTTATTACAGGGGAAACCAGAGGACCTGGAGGAAACCAAAAAGACCAAAAAAGTTGCCTGTTCAATTCAATTTATTTGTGTCTAGCCCTTAATCAAAACAGTAGTTATCTCGGAGAATGGAGCAGTTCAATCTGTTCCATTATCTTAAGTTGCGAAGATGTCCTGAAACAAATAAATAAATAGAACCAAACGCACTCTTACTTACACCTGGATCTCTTACCTCCTGTTTCCCATTCGACCAACTATTCCCCACACCTCAACCATAAGTCTCTCTTTCCTCGAAATCCTCTTACGCAGATCCCCAATCTCTTTGAAGCGTACGCACTAAAGCCGCTCCAAGAACCTTTTATTTAACAGTAGAACACAAGAACATGTGGAATGATGAGGTCTTTAATGAACTCTGCAGAGATAGAGATGGAGCGTCTCCAGAGGACCCCCCAGGGAGCTCCTCTTGCTTCACACAACTCACAGGCTATTATTACCTGGTCCATCCTTTAGCAGGCAGCATCTTTAGTCATGTAGAGTGAGTACAAATGAAACATGGAGGCTGTGGAGTAAGGCTGATTATTGCACTTTCTCTCCTGACAAAGAACCGCTCAATCACGAGCCGAAGGAATAACAAAATTATTCATAGACAGCAACGGCACAAATGTATCTGATTTCACTTAGATTCCGTTTGTCTGTTACCTCAAGCTGCAAGATTTCTCACAATATGTTTTTCAATTGAATTTCAGTGGTCGCTATAAGCAATGGAACAAGTATCACAACATTATTTTGTTTTCAGTTTCAAGTTTTAGTAGAAAGGTTGAGACAATTGTTTATGCTTGCTTATATGTCAACTTTCTTCTTGTTGGGCCATGAGCCAAAGCTAACTCCTAGTTTGTTAGTTGAGAATTCTTTTTTCCTTTTTTTATTTGTCCATGTCACTATATCACAAACATACATCATATATATTGTCATAACATTTGTGAAACACGAACAAACTGGAACAGAAGGAAGACACAAAGTCGTATAAATCCTGTCCCTCGTTTTGCTGGTTGCAAAGACACTACTTTTTTTTTACATTTTCACCCCCAACATCACCTGTCACCAATCTCACATTTTTCTGTTCTATTCAATAACAACAAACTGCACACTTAAATATTTGAAATGTCTTTATATTCAGAAGATTTTAGAAGCTTATTTCAATGAGTCAGTTTGATTGTGTGTATATTTTAATGAAAACCATGTTCTTTCAATTAATTTATTTTTGTAAAAGCACTAAATCACAATAGTAGTTATTGGAGGACTGTACAAAGCTGTCGATTCGCCAACACAGATCAGAGAATCAAACAGTTCAAACTCAGGAAATTCAATGATAAAAAAAACACACAGACCATGCCAGTCTAAGTGCTATGTCCCTATGTTTTAGCCTGAGCTGAAAACCATTGTGCTGAGTTATTGTTTATGTTTCTCCCTCGACGACAGTGACACAAATCTGTCAAAAGTTCAGTCTCTGTTTCTCTTCTGGAAATCCTCTGGGGCTCCATCGTCTGACACTTCACAAGGCAAATACAAACCAGCAGATATGTTTCTGCCGCTGACTCCGAGCTCTCCACAGACAGTGTTAAATACATTAATGACAATGATAAGTGTTGTGAAAACATGTATTGAGAATGGAATGTTTTAAGAGACCTTTTGTTCCTTCGGTTTTAAGACTGTACAACAGACATGTGTGAGCTTAACGTGTGCAATTTTGTTAGTTAGTTAGATGTTTATAGTTTATGTGCTTATGGACTATCTATCTCTCATTTATCTTTATAGCTATCTCTCATGTCAGGGTGTGTTCACAATAATGTGCCAGTTAAAGTATCTGGACTTTAAAAGATTATAACTCAAAAACTAAATTTACTATCATAGATTGGAAACAACATTCAAACACAGACATATCAAAGAGTACTACAGAAAAAATTAAAAAGAAATATTGACAAATACATTTTTTGGCGAAATTTTAAAAGACCAGATAAGCCTCTGATTTGACATGTCGACTGTGACACCAGCGACACAGAAAATAAAAGGTCATAGGTGACAAAGCGGCCGATGAGTTAATCAGTTAATCACTTCTGCCACTCCGGTCCCTCAAGCACCAAAAGAACCAGAAGGGTGTGTTAGTGGGAGATGCAGAGAGATGCACAACATACAACAGACTGCATTTCACAACTCCCTCAAATGGAGCGGTACGAACTGGATGCGGATGTTCTTTGTTTAGCACGAAGAATTTGGGATGACATCCAGGCTCATGAAGACCAGCCAGAGCATGGAGAGGATAACCGACAATTCCAGGTCGCAGCATCCCGCCAAAATGTTGTTTGACAATATGGAGCATTAGGACGAGGAAACAGACTTGTCATTTGGAGTTGCTGAGTGCGGAAGATCAGAGACAAATTTCTGAATCCAGGAGTACGTGGGATTTACTCCACGCCGACTCTAATGTTTCTTTGTATGTAAATGTAGGGTTTTTGTGTGCATGTGTTTTTCTGTAGTTTATTTCCAATAGAGGTTAATAGAAAATATTTGGACTCCTCCTTGTGGTAGAATTGACCAAAAAATAAAATTGAAATATCAGGAAGAGGTTTTCCCTTTACTTTCACAAGCTGAATATGGTCCTAGAATATACATAAAATATCAAACTATCAATGGAAAATTCTTTTATTGCAAAATTGTACATGAACATATAAACATATGCCAATATCGGCAGAAAAAGCACATAAGGGTCCTTCACTTTTGTACTTCTTTCCCTGGGAAACAAAAGTATAAGGATAAATTGATTACTTTGGTTAAACATTTCAGATAAAATACAGTTATACAGAAATGTGAAACTACCCACTGAAATGTGTTTTTGACATCCAGCACTGAAGGATGGCCCTCTGGAGGTCTTCGATGTATGCGTAGTCCTTCTCCACTTTAAGAGCGTACAGTCTCCACTGACGTGACTTCTTGTTGAATACCCTCTTATACCTAAGGCCATACCATAAAATATTAATATACAATATTTTTTAGATTTGAAACCACATAATGATCCTACTCACTCCACTTTACCATCAGCGTTTCTGAGGACAGGTCGGTGTACATGGTGATTGTAGTCCAAACCAGCCAGAAAGGTTCGCGCTTCATACACTTTGTGTGAAAAGCCGAATGCTTTACCCGTATACATGAGGATATGGTTGTGGAATGACTCCAATTCAGACGTGGATCTATATCAAATTAAGATTATGGGGGGAAAACATTATATTTGGCAACAAATAGTTCAAATAATTTTAACATTCAACGTGGAAGTTATGCTTGATTCTTAATAGAGCTCTAAGAATTATCAATAACTCTTCTGGCCACCCTGGAAAAGCCTTGTTCCAGCTTCTTCCCTCTGGCAGAAGATATTGTTCTCTGAGATGCAGGACATGTCGTTACGCTAACAGTTTTTATCCACAAGCTGTTATCAGTGTGAACAGAGCACTTTAATGATTTGCACTTGTTTTGAAACTGTTTTAGTTGATCGATTTCACAGTGACACTTGTTTACTGTTTTATTTGTTTTATTTCTGTACTTTTAATGTTGTTTTATGTCTGTATTTGTCTGTGCACACTGGAGACTTTTGCTAATGTATTCCAATGTGGTTTTTTTACTGCAAATGGCAAATAAACGGAATCTGAATCTATTTTAATCTATGCAGTTTTAAGTTATGTGAAAGATTAATATTATGTATGATTATATGAAAGTGATAGCATATGTTTGAAGCTTTCAATATCAAGTCAGTTGTTACAAATTTGAGATTTAGAAATAAAGAGATGTATTGTCCATCTCATTAAGAAAATGCTTATGTTGGAACTGCTCTAATCAGCAGGCCACTACTTTATTCATTTCAACCACCCAAACATTAGTACAACATATCAAAAACATAAGATGCATCTACACACCTAAAAGTCAGGAACTTCACCACATCCTTCAGCCAGCGTTCATTCCAGACGATCTCAGTGAGGGCCGTATGTGCCTCTGAGCCTTTGACTATCAAAGGCTTGTCCTTGTCGTCTGGCAGAGGACCATGATAACAGGCCCCTAGAGACCACTCATGTTCTCCAGTGACATGGTGCAGAACACCTCTCCACATGTCCTACAGAAAGATTGACAATCGTATTACAAACAAAATAGATTTTTAGCATACTCAATGATAAAACAATAAAATACTCACAAAAAAATCATCAAAGGTTGATGCTGTTTTTGCACAAAACCAAAAATGATTGCATATGTCTTTTGTCCAGGTTGAAAGACTTTTGCAGTTCTTCTTTTGACTTGCCTAAACACATGAACAACATAAGGAAATGCAACATAACCACACCAAGTAGGAAAAATGTCCAATATGCATTACTTTGTAGATCTTTTTCCCAAGATCTTTTGACCCGTGCCACATATCAAGCGTATGCAGAATCCCAGATGTATGGTATTTTCCCTTTGCTATATAAAATGAAATATTATAAACACTGAATAATACTTTAAATTGTGTAGAAAGTTTTTGATTGTAATAGAATGTAATAAATCAATTTGCCCTAGTTAGATGGTGTCATTGAACACAATAACATATAAAGCAGTATGAAGTACCTCTATCCATTTCACCACATAGCACCAACATAATGTTGAAAGACAAATGTATATTAAAATGTATAAAAGATAATGATGAGGTGACAGTGACCAACCAGCTTTTGGTATGTGCAATTGTGTAAATATGAAATCAATATTCACATGGATAATATAAATAAGTAATGGGGATGGCAAAAGTGTAAATGTACATTTTCAAATAAAAACATTATTATACTCATTTACCAAAAAGTGCTGAAATCTCAACATGTGCATCAGTGCACACTTCTTTCAGGTTTGGCAAAACTTCTAGGAGGTAGTCGAGGGATTTTATGAATGCATCCTTCTCCAAAATGTCACTGTCACAAACATTTTGTCGTTTGTCCACACTTTCCATGGAGATTATCTCTTTACTTTCGTTTTCCATCATAGTGTAGGTGCAACTTTTGGCACAAAATCCAGGGCTATCCATTCGACTGTTCCCTTTCATAAACACAAAGAATTATATTTATTATGATTGATTTTACTTTGCATGATCAAAGCAAGTTGTGTAATGTGCTTATAAATGTGTTTATCTCTATGAACGGGATTATAGAAATGTATTAGGGAAGTCAGGAACATGTTTAGACCACAACTATCAATCCTGTAACTTTCGTTCTTTGTACTAAAACACAGGTACAGTGACAATACTTCTAAGATGCATTATATCAGACTTTCAAAATTATTTCTTACCAAGAGCAACTAAGTGTGGTTTCTGCTTCAGTCGGGAAAGTGTTTCTCTCTGTCGTGACCGCCAGAACTTTCCAATAGTGTCGAGGCAGTAGTCGTCTTGAATTTTGTGACATGTATTCTTTCCCACCATTCCAACGTTCATAAATTTGAATAACAAAGCAATCTTTGCATAATTGTTCCCCGATAGGAGGATATTGGTGGATAGCAGAAAGTCTCCAATCCTCACACCACACTTTAAAGATGGCTGCGAATTCCAGCGCCAGACAATGTGACCAGAAGAACACATCTGTTTTGAACACAAAGAATGTAAAAAAAAACGTTTAAATGGAGTAAAGCACAGGAAAATAAAGAGAGTGGCGAATAAAATCACACCCATTCAATGATTGCAGCAGAGGCTCTGGACCGTACTAGCACTTTAAATGGTCTTGGTGCCTGACAGGGTTTTGAAGTGTCTGGGTCTTTTACATTGCACGTAGAGAAAGGCAATTGAAGAGTCTCCGCAAGCTGTTGTAGGCAAGAATGGTAGGCTAGAGAAGCTGGTTGGCCAATGGTATCCAGTCCAGCTTCAGATGGAGGCTCATCATCTGCCAAACCCTCCTCTTGGTTTTCATCCATTACACTGATGTCATGAACAGTTTCCTCTACAGTAATGTCGTCATATTTATTGACATTAATTTTAGTGGTCAGAGCACCGCCACTACTACATATTTTTTTTAAACAAAAGAAATAAAACTTTATTATTACCAAAATGGAAAGTTTTGTCAAAGTGGAAAGCACATTCTGACTCACCGAACACATAGTGGAGGCGTACAGTCACTGTCACTATCACTACAAAGTCCCTCAGAGGACGGAGTGGTGTCCAACCAGTCAATGCTAAAAAATAAAAAAGATTACATTACCATAAAATGTGTTCTTTCCAACCATACAAAAACAATTACTTACGTTGCATTTGTGATGTTGTTGAACTCTTCTTCATTTATTTCTTCTGTGTTCAAATCCAAAGAGGTTCTACTAATTGAACTAGACATGGGATGATTACTTGAATAAATTGCAAAGTCTGAATAACAAATAAGTGTGGAGTAAATACCAACCTTGAATCAATCTGCTCCATAACCTCTTCATCTACATCCCAGTCCAGATCTGGGACCTCAGTCCCAGCTAAGTCAGCAGTCCTGAAACAAAATATGGATGAATACAAATAATAATAATAACTTAGAATAAGACATACCCGTCAGATGAAGATCCTGCTGAAATGCTGGATGCAGAGGGCTGTGGTAAGCCAGCTCTTTTTCTAGACTTGATTGGGGTTGGAGTGACCTTCTCATAACTGCAAAAGATTAAAGAAAATCATACATAGAGGCTAAGAACAAAGACGTGTATGCTGAGCTTATCCAAGTCTTGGACGACAGAAGCCTCTCACTTCTAATGAGAGAAGCCACAGACGATGGAATGTTCCATCAGAATGGGACAGCCAAGAGAAATTGGTGAACACTTTTTGAAATGGCACGTTGTAGCTTGAGAGTAACTTACCAGAGAGACTGTGGACGTATACTGTTATGACTGCAGTATTTTGCAACAGGTGTTACAACAGCCGCACAGGACAGACCCCTTACTATTTGTTGACAGGGAGAAAGCCTAAAGCCTGGTTCACACGGCAGGATATTTAGGCCGATTTAGACCCGAGGGGGGGGGGGGAGGAATCGGTTCGTGTAAATCGGCCGACAATTTTAAAATCGTCTCGTGTGTCAGTTTGTTTCAGTTATTGACAAAACAAAAAGAAGCTAGATGCAAAGTGCGACGACAGAGTTTTTGTGGGATATGATAAAAACGTCATATCTAGTCTTGTTTTTATTACCCAGAAAAGTTCCACACTACAAGTGGAGATGAGTTCCAAAACGAGACCAAAGAGACAAAACAAAGAGTTATGATATAGAAAGGCAGACAGTAATCTTAGCCTTATAGCAGACAGCGATGCAGATTGGGCCAGATTTGTGTGACAGGAGAAGTACGACAGGTTACTGTTTTGTAGTGATGGGTCGTGCCGCGTCGGCGCTTCGGGGCGTGAGCCGAGAAATCCCTGAAGTTTTTATCGGAGCGCGGGACGAAGCCTGAGTTGTTTTAGATGAGTGACGTCACTAATGACGTTTGAAGCCTCGGGAGCACAGGAAATGGAGCAATTCATGAAGTACTGCAGAAGATCCGCTCAAACTGTGTGTTTGTTTTGGTGATTAATGTAGTCAGTGATGGAGAGGGTTGAGGTATCAGCTGGTTGGCTCAATTGATAGGGAAGCAGGGCTGGGACTTGGGAGACCGGGGTTCGAATCTCACCGGGAGTGCGTCGATGTAAATACACGAGAAAGAATTTTGTCAGAAATGTTTTGGTTTTAAACAACTGATGGGGTCACAATCCCAAATGATATCCCCATTTGTGTCACGTCCTTTGAAAAGCACTTACACTTTCAACATGTTTGTTGTCCTATTGGATTTATAACATTGATTTTGACTTGAAAAGCTATAATCATTCATCATTAAATATGTATATAAATATATATCTACATATATGTATGTGTGTGTGTGTGTATTGATCATAATGAAACAGATAAATTAATGGGTCATACACAATCAAATTACATTTTTATTTCTGTTACCAGTATTAATTCCTATGCGCAAGAGCCTCACAAACAGTTCAATTGTCAATACAGATTTTGACCAACAGGAGGTTTGTGAGCATATGAAGCATCAAGAAATGAACCTTTTCTCGAACCAATGGATGAAAAGGTTCAACACTTCATGAAGCTTCATCAACCCATCACTACTGTTTTGCACTATTTGAGAGTCGGCCTATTATCTGTTGGAAAACTAGAAAGCAGACTGCAGTAGCTTTGTGAACGTGTGAGGCGGAGTACATGGCGATGGCCACCACAGTACAAGAGAGTTTATACCTCTCACAACTACCTAAAGGCACACCGTGTAACTCTTGGCCACTAGGGGCGCTAGACCTGCAACTTTCACGTTTAGCGCCCCTAGTGGCCACAAGCAACTCAGCACTGTCGCAAAAGTCAACAAACAGTCAGCCGGTGTCTTTTGAGTGTGTATTCAGACAGTAGTGGACCTGTTGGTTGAAGAGGGCTCATTGACTCACGATTGAAGAAAAGAAGACATTTTACTGTATACTAGGAGCAAAGACTTCACTTACCAGTCTAATAACGAAGTTGAAAAAACAGAATCAGATTTACATCCAGCTTCTTCTTTCAACCTGCGCCAACGAGCAAACTCCTTTCCCAGATCGACCCTTGTTTTTCCTCGAGCACGATCCCTTTCGCGTTTCCTCTTTTTAGCCTCCTCCGAAGGTTTAAAATTTTTCCTTGCCTCAGCCATGACCAGGAGTCGAGCAGGTGAAAAATGAGTAGCAAAAGCCTTAGCTCCATGAGTATATCAGCGCCTGTAGCCGTAAAGCAAGTCTTTCTTCAAAGTCACGTGACCTGGTAAACGACGGTGCGTCTGCTCTAAACTTACATGGGCGGTATTTCAAGAGGGCAGCCCCGCTCGGAGCATTGCAAGAGTCAAGCGCTGTATATTGGCCCAAGTAGGGCTGGGACAACGCGTCGACGTAATCGGTGACGTCGACGCAAAAAATACACCGACGTATAATATGCGCGTCGGTGCGTCACACACAAAACAAAGATGGCGGCGAGCGGTAGCAATGCAAGTGCCGTGTTAGAGAAGTGCAAGCCGGTGTAACGCTGAGATACACTAGCCTGGAAAAATCCAGACTCACCGCTGTACCAGCCGGTGAGTCTGGTCACCGTGGCGTCAAACAAATTTCCAAGGCGGAGCAAACCTGAGAAAACAGACAGCGGAGTGAGCCAATCAGCGAAGGGCGGACATGACGTCAGTAAAGCGACACACACTCTACAGTGAGTAAGAAAATAAACGGAGTTGACATGACCGAAGAAGTTAATTCAACATGGCTAGCGCAAGAGAGAGTGTTGTCGATGACTTGTGTCGTTGTTGCGGGAAAAACTTGAGGATACATGGAGTTATTAGCGGCTCCGCTTTGATTTTTCAACAGGGTAATACATCGAGACTCATCTATTTTGCAGCGACTTGCTGGCTTGGGTCTTGCGTTAACGCCAGACAAAAACAGATCAAAAAGACTGTGCAAACTTTGCATAACTCTTATCGGACGGTTGGAACGGGACTCGTCTATTTTTCGGAAATGGCAACAAGAGGAGGACACTCTGACAACCGAACCACCACCAGCCGAAGGGTCATCTTCTGCCGGACAGGGTACATGTATATATTGAGATTCATTTGTAATGTTTTATTCATTTGTTTTTTTTAATTGAGTGCCCTTACAGTTTTATTATTTATCACTTGTTGGGGAGAGTACTTTGGAAAAAAAATGCTAATCGAGTTCTGTATTCTTAATACTTTGAATACGTCAAGAGTGGGTTTTTAGAATACTTTCACGTTGATTGTCATTGTATTTATGTGTAAAAATGGCGCATATTTATTTACAAATTATAGTGTAACTTTACCCAAATACAGTTACACGAAATGAGTATTCTACTTACTCCCCAACACTAGTACTGCACAGATGAAAATTCCTATATTGTGAGACCTTTCGCTGACCATCATTCTAATTATGATCTGAATCAGGTGACAAACGAGAACGTTGTACTCCATCTAAAACACCAAGAGCAGTGAAGAAGATTCGCCGGAGTCCTACCACTCAGACTGCAGCAAGGCGAAGTATCACACAGGTAAACATGTTTTATTTAATACACTGTAGTGTGCGTATTACAGCCTAATCCTGTAATAACAAATGGTCATGAATAGTAAGTGACACATCTTGTGTTCTTTTGGTTTGCTTTATATTTCACAGGTCATTACTGAGTACCCTAGTAAAACTGTTCTCAAGGTTTCCTCCCCTTCCGAAGCTGGGATCATTCAAAACATCACTAATAAACAGTGGAAGACTGCTGCTAAATTGATTTCAACTCATAAAGAACTTTATAGGGAGTTGAAATCAATGTTTCTCAACACCATCACTGAAGAAAGTCTGTGCCTAACCAACCCAAATAACAACTTTATGCTGTGGAAAACGATGCCAGAAGAACTAAAGTCTTTTTCATTTGAAAAGCTCCGTGTGGATCTTGAGAACAGGTCTCCTTTTTTATTGTCCATTTTTCAAACCATCAGCTGCAAAAGTGTACCAGCTGCTTGTGCTGCACTTTGTATAGCACTACGGGGGAGAGAACCGCGGATGTCAGCCTTTGCATACTATATAAACAGTATACTTCAGCATGGAGGTGCGAAAAAAGCAGCCTTCAAAAGGTTAAGCAAAATGGCCATCACCACATCATACCAGCATGCAATAGGCAAACAAAAGGAGTTGGCTGCCACCTGCGGTGAAAGACTGCAGGAGCTAAAAGTTTCCACTGAACTTTACTTGACCTCTAAAGCAGATGGGCACCCTGTGGACATGACAAGTGTGAATGATAACATGGAGGACCTCACATTATCAGGTGCAATACCACTACACTTAAATATAACTTTAAAAACATATATTTTTTGTGGTATTTAGTTTGTAATCGTTAATTTCTAATGTTGTTAATTTGACAATTTCTACAGATGACAATACTGAAAGCCAACTACCAGATTCAGAGACTACAGAAGTGAACTCTCCACCACCTTATACCACACAGCCAGAGCTGCCACCCACATACTCTGTAATAATGGACAACTTAGACTTCTTCATGAAGACTCACCAGCAGTCACTACTCACCAGCAATACATCCCTCCACTGGATACATCACATTGCTGTTGAAGATCGAATTCAAACAAGCCACCTAAGTGATGTAAGGCCAGATATTGACTTCACCACTTACAATCTTAGTCGCTCTCTCCCAGGATCAGAAACACAAGCTCACGTACAAAGAGAGTTTATAGTGTTGGGTAGCAGACTTCTCACTCAACATCTTGATGTTTTAAAGCCACTTCACAAGGTTGTTTTGCATCACATTCCGCATGACCATTCTGAAGAAATGTCATTACACTCCACAGACGTAAGTAGAACTTAACACAGTGTTTCACTGCAGAAACATGTATTGCAGGGATGGTAATTACTGACTTTACTTTTACAGTACCCCCTTGGACTGATCTTCAAAAATGAAAACATAACTGGGGAGTTGTCCGATGTACTGTTGTATCTTCAAAAAGAGTAAAGTAATATTAAATTACCATAATATTAACTCTGCACCACAATGTTTTACATATTTTCATCTTCTCTCTATCCAGGTATGTACCAAAAGGACCAAGTGGCTTGGAAAAGGTGTTTGTAGGTGGTGACCGCCTAACTGAGGGTAACTGTCGTAATCTTCAGTGGGGTTTTGCGGACGGAGCTACAGAAGAAGAACGACTCGAAGGATTGGCATTTAAGTTTGAAGATTGGCATGCCATCAGAAATCTTTTTCAGGTCTGTGAGGTTGCTAAATACTTTAAAATCACGAGCAGTACTTTGACATTTACTTTAATTTCACAGATCCATTACAAAATATTTTGTAATAAGACCTCATCAAAAGATCATGGAACACTTTTTTCAAACATGAATGTGTTGAGGTACATTTTAAACTACAGATGCATTTTTCTAGTGTGCTATTCAGAATGAGAGTGTTTGTGCATGTTTGTCAAAGCATGTTGAACTTGACGTTTGTAACGCTTTTCTTTTGTGTACATTCTCTTCCAGTGCTTCCAAGACAACATGAATTGTCTGGATGCCCCATGAAATGAAATTATCTGTCCTGTCACCATGAATAAGGCACGGTGTTGTACTCATGTTATTGTATTTTATGAAACATGAATTGTTCACATAAAGAAAATAGTGAAAAATACAGAAAAAAATACTTTTGCTTAATTGTTGTGTGTGTGTGTGTGCAGGTGTTCCAATGCAAAACAAGGCCCAACAGCAGCTTACGATGCCTATAAAACATTTTTAAGGAAAGACACTACCGCACTTTTCCTGGCTGCAGCTCTGGAGCACTTTGGGCTGAAGGATTTGTCAGGCATGTCATGTCTTTTTGTTTGTATATCTCAAAGTCTTTACTTTTGAAATACAATACTAAAAGTATTTTTCACAGTTTTTTTAAACTTAAGAGAGTTACATGAGTGGTATTTTTATGAACAATTGGGCTGCTATCAAGTGAGCCGTGAAGCATATCTTCTTCTGATCGTAATGACTTTACAGCGTTTTTAGAGTCCCCAAACGAGATCACTAAGAGGTCAACATAAAAATACAGGCTTTAAAACTACTACTAAGAATAATTTTACTCTACTTTTAATATGGTTAAAAATGCAGCAGTGTAAAAAGTATAGATACAGGCTAAAAAGTACAAATAATTAATTACATTTTATGGTGATTATGTGAAGTAAAAGTACCAAACATTTCTGATTTCCATGTTGAATATAATGGATGTGAAAGAATAACTAATTTTTTTTATCTTTTTGTGTACAGATACGCCAGACAATTTCATTCCAGCTGACATAGAATCTGGATCCCCAGCAGACCAGAGGACGTGGCTTCATGATAAAACGTCTGAGTTGATAGAAAAGTATGTCATGATGCCGGAAATCTTCTGCAAAGCAAATGGCCAACCTACTGCTCAATTCCAATGTCGTGACCTCAACTGTACTACAGCATACACATCTTCGAATGCAAGGGAAATACATGAAAAGAAGAAACACAATCTAGTGCTCTCTTCCCCACCATCACCCTCTACAACTACAACAATAAAGCCAGACTCCATCAAAGAGCACTCGGAAGCAAGGTTAGGCTTCAGCTTTGTGTTGCTGAACATGATGGATGCAGTAAAAGAGGGTGATGGAGAACGGCTAATGCGACTATACCAAGTTGCTCTCCTTTTCTATAAGGCGTATGGTCACACCCAATATGCATATAGCACTCTATTATTAACTTTGCAACTTAATGTCACACTGTCTCCGAGAATGGCCCACAGTCTAAAATGGAACAGATTCTGGAATGGAAGAGGTGGGCAAGGAAAAAACATACCACTTGACTTGCACTTGGAGCACATGAACAATTACCTTAAGTCTTTTCTGAAAGGTCTTGGCCCAAATCTTACTGAGAACTCTGCAAACCGAATCAGTAAATCCATTGGCATCCTCAAAGAAATGATGGACAACACTGACAGGGAGCTTGAGGTCACCAAACCAAGTGGTGTGCACCATACAACAGGAGAGGAGCAAGACATTGCAACTCTAGTGGCCATATTCAAGGACGGACACATTTTCAAAGAGCAGCCAGGGAGAGAATACCAGTCATTTCCTTCTTTTGGGAAAGACTTGCTTGAAAGACTGAATTACGCTGACCTGTACCTGTGGATCCAAACAAAAATTAAAGACTGGAGAAAAGTTGCACTTTAATCAAATACATTGTAGATGTTTGTCTTTGAACTTGCTACTGACAATGCATCTTTTACTTGCACTACTTGATAAAAACTAGCACTGCTATTTAGAACATTTGCATGTTTAAATTGTGTCCAACGAGAGCTATATTTTATATTAAAATAAATGTGTTATATAATTAAATAAAAAGCTGTAAATGGTAATTTTTCTTTAGAAATTGTTTATTTTTGGTGTCACACAATATAAAATACAGAAGTTCCTTTAAAATTCCTTCATAGTACTAACAGTGTAACTTTAGCAGTGCTGACATGATCCAAAATTAATCTGAACCTTCAAGAACATTGACTCCAGACTCTGAACTACTTGCCGACGTGTGTTGCTCCATGTCTGGCTCATCAAAATATCCTGTGTAATATATGTCTGGAAAGATAACGGTTTCAGGTAGTGCAGAAGTAGGTCCTGGGCAATTTGTAATGTCTTCAAAAACGTCATTAATAATTTGGAGAATAGCGTGTGCGTGACTTTGATTAAATACTGGTAGGTGCTTGGCAATATATTGTACATCAAAGATATATTTACTGTGCTCTATGACAGCATCAATCAGTTCAGAGCCAAATCCAGTACAAGCAGTTATATTTGTGTATAAAACTTTGTTCTTAACTAAAGTCATTTGATATTGCACCAAGAGGTCCCTTAAGAGCACCTTGTCGTCGTCTGCCACCTCTCTACTAACATGATGTGCCGGAACAACCGTTTGGGGCAGTTCATAAACAGGAGTAGTCTCTTGGCAACCTTCTGGGTTACATTGGCATACTGAGTGACAGTAGGTGCAACACTGATGACCTGGCATGACTGCAGTGGCTTGTTCGTCAAAATGGCTGTACAAAGCCTTCCTAAAGCAACCATGTATTTTTGAATTTAGCAGCTCCTTGACAACTTGATCCACCTTAGTGTACTGTTTAATGCAATAAATAACTGCATGTGACTGTTCTCCATTCCTGCCTGCTCTGCCTATTTCCTGCACAATTGCTTCAATGTCCTCTGGAACGCCATACATAACCACATGGGAAATATTAGGAAAATTCAAACCCATTCCAAGGGCCGTAGTTGCAACTACAACTTTACAGTTGCCTTCTCCGCTCAAAGAAGACAGCACTCGGGTCTTATTTTGTGGAGTGTTTTGCTGTGAAACATCCTAATAATCATATTGTCTGCTTGGTGCATAGGATCTCTCCCCACCCAGCAATCTTCATCCAGTTCAGCTTTTAGGTAGCAAAAGACTCTTCCAACCTCTTTTATAGTCCGACAGTAAATAAGAACAGGGGACATGGTAATTCCCATTTCTTTGACTTCCTGTACTATCCAGTCCATGCAGTCCAGGTGAGGTCCACGAATATGGGTCAATCCAAGTCTAATGTTGGACCTGTTTGGGCTTTCTATCAGAGTCACTGCCTTTTCTAGATGAAGCTGCTTTATCACTCTGGCTCTTGACTGGACATCTGCAGAAGCGGTTAGGGCCATAATAGGTGTCCCTGTAACACACATTTATAATGACATTAATAAACTGCAATATTTAATTGAAAACAAAAATGTGTATGCGTTATATTTTTGCACCCAAAAATAAATAAACATCTCAAATAGGCACTGATTACATAACAAACCTGCTTTGACAATGGACCGCAATTCTCCAAGTCTAGCAAAACACTCTCTGAAGGCACTTTGTCCTTTCTCGGCAAGTCCCCTATAGGAAAAACACATGCAGAATAAAGCATTAGCATATTGTGGTGAATGAGTTGGAGCAAAAAGTAAATTCTAACAACATCACACTCTTAACACTTATTGATGTTTTAGTTACGCACAGTTACAAAAGAAAAGCTTACCATTTGTAAGTGAGGTGTACTTCATCGACTACAATGCCGACCAGCTCCTGCTGGTTAGACAACAGGCGTCTCCATTTCTCGTTCAGGAGCCATGCCTCTGGGCTACCAAACAACAACTCCGCTTTGCCTCTGAAAATCTCCTCGTCAGTATTTACTCCGATCTGCATTGCGGTAACTCCGACTTTCGAGGCCTCGGTTACTTGCTGCTCCATGAGCGCAAGCAGAGGAGACACCACGACCACAACAGGATTTTTGTATAATGACATCTTTTTTGCAACAAGCGGAGCCAACTGATATATTAAACTCTTCCCAAAGCCAGTAGGAAGCAATGCAAAAACATCTTCTTTTGAAAGAAAGGCTTCCAGTGCTGTTAACTGTTGGGGTTTTAATGACTTGATGTGATTTTGGTCATTTAAAACCGAATTTACCGCTGAGTTGAACAAACTTTCATCTCTCTCGTGTGCCATCTCTATTGTTATTGAGGGGACTTCCGCCGCGCAAGAGTGACGTTGCTCGCTAACAACACGTCACGGCAAATAAACGATTCAGATTGGTCGTGAACGGATTAATTTTGCAGAAGGCGCGAGCGTTGACTGGGTGACCAGACTGATCCCCCGCTGGATAAAAAAATACAGAGGGGAATCATTCTGGTCTCACCAGGCTAGAGATACACTGCCTTGAAGAGATGCACAGCCTCAGCTGTTTATCATGTAATGCAAACCTGCGCATGCGCGTCTCACGGCAGCCAAAGCAAACCAAGATGGCGGACCGTGAATTTCTTTAAAAGTTAAAATACGAACGAATTCAGACACGAATGTCACTTTTAATGCAATTTGAGGCGAGATGTTGATGGTTCCGTTTTGTCACATGTGGGTTTTAAGAGTCAAAGTTTCGTGCAAAGTTTAGTTTAAGCAGTCAACTGCGCCTGTGAAACCACAAAGCTAATGTTTTCATAGCAGTCCGCGGCTGCTGACGTAGGCTGATGACGCGTCCTGTGGCAACTCTACAGCTTACAACTAGTCTGTCTTTCTTTATATCAAACGGAATATTGGCGCCCGTAATATCCCCTACATGTATTATTCACTGTCATGCCCGCCGTATATGGACATTTTTCAACATGTGTTCAATATCCTTAATGCGTTTAACTGTTGATTGATTCTCTGATCTGTGTTGGTGACTTAAATGTTGTTTTAAGTCCTCTGAGATGACTTCTACTGTATTCTTTCAGTAACTCTAAAAGAAAGGATGACTGGTTGACCTTTTTATTTGCTACACAATGCATTGTTTTTCTCTTGTACACTCTTACTTGAATTTTATTTTTGAATTTTGAGTTTAAGAAAAAGGTGAGTGGCAGAGTTTTGACTGTTATTTTTATATGAATGAACAATTTAAGAGATGCACTTTAATTAATGGACTTCAGTAATATAGGCCTATGTGTCTTCAACTTAAATGTTAAACTCTGT